ATGTAGCAAAACTATCTAATTTATACTTCGTGTTTAAGTCCTGATCATTCGTCTACACTAGTGTAAGTGATAAACATAAGTTTACTGAATAAAATGTTCTTCGTATACTTCAGGGTTAGTCTGGAACCAAATGTACTTTTTTTTACAATCTAGCACTACTACTTAATCTAACTGTTTGTGTTTTCTCAGTCACTAATCATGCCACTTTTCATAATCCTGATAAGAAAATATTATTGTTGGTTTACGTATGTTGTTCTACGTCTTTTTTTCCTATGTAAGTATTAAATATTTTATCCGTTTAAAACAATTAAATCCATAATTTCATCCACAAGGATCCAGGATTCAGGAGGTTGTAGAAGGCTTACAAAAATACGGTGATTGAGATTATAAACCTTTGATTAGTGCTAAGGCAAGCAATGATACCTAAGACGTACTTTTTATCCTATTTACGGCTCATTAAATTGGGTGTTTATACATCCTCTAATGAGTGATTGTCTTTCTCCTCCTGAAACTAGTACCTAACAACTATTATAAATATTTGATTGCATGGAGGATTTAATTATGAGCTGACATCAGTTAGAGAACCACTGGAAAACCTGGGAGTACTGGACAGCTGTCAGACTAGTTTGGGACTCTTCATCAGTACGCATCCACCGCCAAGGTTCGAACCCAGGACCTTCTGGTTACTACAAGGCAAGCTCGTAGACCATTGAGCCACTGGGAGCCACTGCTGAAGAGTCCCAAACTAGAACGAAACAGCTGTCCAGTACTTCCTGCAGGTTTTCCAGTGGTTCTCTAACTGATGTCAGCTCATGAATAAATCCTCCATGCAATCAAACAAAATCCCTACAAAACCAATACTTGAAAATGAATCTGATGCTCACTAGTGACTGGCCCTATTCAGGCGGTTAACCTGGGGTTCTAGTGGGAAGCCGTGACCAGTAGAGTAAAGCAGGTCGAAGATGAGGCAGTAACTCGTAGAAGAAGACATTGCGAAGTGGTCGCGCTATGTCGTGAACTGGCAGAAGTTAGAATTCAAGGACCATTGGATCGGGTCCCAGTGGCTCAATGGTCTACGAGCTCGCCTTGTAACTAGAAGGTCCTGGGTCCGAACCCTGGCGGTGGGTGCGTACTGATGAAGAGTCCCAAACTAGGACGAAACAGCTATCCAGTACTCCCAGGTTTTCCAATGGTTCTCTAACTAATGTCAGCTCATGATGAAATCCTGAAACCAATCAAATCCCTACAAACCAACACTTGAATATCCATTATTTATTAATCAGGATTTCCTATGTGTCATCTAACATCACACCTTAATGGTTGACTACAGTTCATTTGATTTATTTTGCAATCGAATTAAATTCACAAAGAAACTATGTAATTGGCACAACCATCGTGTTTCCACTCTCCATTGTCTGTAACAGAATGCGTATCCTAAATTCGTAGCTGTCAAGTCACCTCGAGACAACTCCAGTAGGTCGAATAAATCACCTCAATTTTCAGAAAGAAGACAAAGTAATAAGTTTGACGGGGTTGTTCAACTAAACTCTAATCCTAAACACCATAATTTTGAAAATACGTCTAATCATACAATTCTAGATACTAACAGTTGGAACAGACATGAAGGTGTGATGTTAGCTGATGCATAGGAAATCCTGATTAATAAATAAGAATGGATATGTATCACTAATTAATTAATAATACTTGGTCAAAGTTCCTGACTGTCTATATCTACTTATGGAGACGTTAAGACATTGTTTTACAACTGTTTATCCGCACACACACACACATACACACTGTGTTTAAAGTGTTTAACAAAGGTAGATCAATATTTGTAAGTCTGAGGTCGAATTTTGATCACAACTCGTACAATTTTGTTTATTATACTTGTTAATACTTGTTTTATGACTCATGATTGGACAAAGTTTTTAAAAATATGAGATGTTCCTTTTATATATAAACCTCTGTTATGTTAATTTCGATTAATTTCCCTGAAGAAGTTCGGATCAGATTGCCGAACGAAACGTTGGAATGATTCATTTTAATATCGCTGAGATTTTACAAATATAATTTTTTACAAATGTCTACTACTCACTCGGCACCCAAATATTTTAGAACTATTCTGTCAAATTGCGAATACAGTTCATTAGAATCATGAAGCCGGTTAGAATAAAAAGACTACAGAGAGCTGAACAAAGTGACTATGTGGAACACAGGCTCTATGTTGCATTCGGAAACCAATGTTGACATGAAGAAGTTTACAATAGGAACAGTATTTAACTATTTAAATATGAAAGCGTTTATGTTAAACACTCAGTATAATTTCAATGCAATTTCGGTTATCACATATACTATTGAAAATCCAGAAAGTATTGGACAGTATGGTATTGATTCTCATGTGATATTCGACAATCCAAGATTCAGTGATACATGAGATCGTACACGTGTCAAGATCCATAAGAAAATCACTGTTTAGTTCTAGTTCATGTTGAAAAAAGAGCTTCCCTAGTAACTGGTAAGCCCTAGGTCCGAATCCCAGTTGGTGGGTGCTGATGAACAGTCCTAAACTAGGACGAAACAGTTGTCCAGTATTCCTTGCAGGTTTTCCCATGGTTCTCCAACTAACATCCATCCATAATCAAACTTAAAATCACATGAGAATGCCATTTACCCCATATATATACACACACGCACACTCATACTGAATTCATTTCAAGAATACAACACCTATTAGAAAACACAACACTTAGCCAAGCCAAAATAACGTACAACAAAAATGGTTAAAAACTGTTACAAACAGCATAATATCATATTGGATAAGGGTCAGATGATACAAGCGATCACCATATATGTATTCACTTTAAATAACAGTATAACGCTACATCTGTAATCAATGTAATCTTAAGAAAAGGCACATTTCTTTTCCCATAAACTTGAATTCATTTCAGGACACACACAGAAGTATAAAAGGACAAGAAAATAAGATCATACGTGAACACTTTTTTGTCGTTAACTTGGCATATTTTTTGATGAACTATTGAAAATAGAATCACTTTTCTGTACAATATGAATAATTCATCTTGTTTTGTTTATTGAGGTTTAGGTAACCAGGTCATAGTAGTAGTACTGCTCGCCTTTACTAAACACAACATGTGTATGGTCGTTAACCATCATATGTCATCTATGATGTAAACGTGATATCCGGTGACTATGAATTAAAAGATATGTATATTGTGCAGCAGGTCGCTCTCTTCTCCTTTGCGGTTGAGACATACTCACTGAAAGTACAAGATATGAAAGGCTAAGGATCTTTCATAACACACGTTTGCATTCTATTTCCCATTTTCACTGGTATAATATGGTCAACAGAGTGAGGGGAAGTCAACAGTTGAAGTTGTGAAACATCACCGATTGAGATAGCCAGGAGGATATGTGTGTTGTAGAGACTGAGCAGCTACGGCCTTTCTGGTCGTGCATCGTTAGCTCGACGGTTGGCAGTGCTCAGATTAAAAACCTGGAATCAATCCATGAAGTAGCTGACAGTTGATATATATAAAAGCCAGTCACGTAGGAGAGAAGTGTAGACTTCGTAACTGGATTCCTCCGTATGGATAAGAATCAATGACTGGAGGCTGTTGGTGACATTACAAACAAAGTCGTTCCCACACTTTTCTGCTCATTATAGTTCTATTGAATTTGTTTTTTTTTCTCTCTCTCTCTCTGCTATTATGTGCTGCATGAATGCGGCAACTTCAACTGGCGCACTTCTTTGAAAAGTCAGTCATTCAGCTAAATACATCAAATGCAAATATTGTCATTGAGTAACATTTCTTTTGAGGTCGATGAAATGCACGTCGACCTAATGAAATGCTGGTATGAAGTCTATTTCCTAGGCTAGTTTTCATTCAATTTGCATCCCAAGTGGAACACACGGCAACTTCAGCTTTTTGATGCTTTACCGACGATGGTATTGCTTTTAACTTTACGTGGTGAAGTGTCTAGTTTCACACCCTCCACTTACCAAACTTTTCCCAGACCCAGTTGCGGCTTACTGCTGGTAAAGTAAAGCAGACGGTGTTTAGGAGTGAGTCTGTCAGTAGTAAGTCAAACCTAGACCTGCCGAGTGTGTGTCTGACGAGTATTCATTCTACCACTGAACACACCACTGATGGTTAAGATAGGATTAAATATAATTTCAAAGATATTCAAGTATTGGTTTGTAGGGATTTGATTGGTTTAAGGATTTCATCATGAGCTGACATTAGTTAGAGAACCATTGGTAAACCAACTGGGAGGACTGGACAGCTGTTTCCCACGTCCTAGTTTGGGACTCTTCATCAGTACGCACCCACCGGGATTCAAATCCAGGACCTTCTGGTTACAAGGCGAGCTCGTATACCATTAAGCTATGTCGTGAGTTGACAGAAGTCAGAATTCGTGGGCTGGCCATTGGATCGGGTCCCAGTGGCTTAATGGTATACGAGCTAGCTCGCCTTGTAACCAGATAGTCCTGGGTTCGAATCCAGGTGGTAGGTGTGCACTGTTGAAGAGTCCCTCATTAGGACAAAACAGTTGTCCACTACCCCCAAACAGGTTTTCTAGTGGTTCTCTAACTGATGTCAGCCCATAATGAAATCCTATAATTTCAAAGAGTTACATTTCTGAATTATTGTTAGATGGTTAAAGGCGATCGGCAGGACCCTTGGACGCAGGTTTCGTGCTTGGTGGCACACACTAGTCAGTAAGGCGTATCTACAATCTTGAAGGAGCTCATCTCCCTCCCTAGTGATGCAATGAGAGACGTTATCACACTGAGCTAGCTATTTGAGCTCGCGGTTCACCTTCTGTAAGACTGATAGAATTCAATCTACACCAACATCAAGTACTACACGCATGATATTAGTTCCAACCTAGTATCCAATCAAAGCTAGAATTCATAAGAAACTCATAATAAAAGCAACATATATACATATACAACACATAGAACAAATGAAACTTACTCATAGCTTGACTAGACATTGTGAACAATCGATCAGCAGCTCTTTCCACGTGTTCACAGGCTTCAAAACAAGCTTCATTGACATCTTTATCTTCAACTCCACTATCACTACCATTATTCACCGCTTTACCAGTATTAATACTATCATTAGAACAACCATGATAATAATCGGATGATGATGATAAGATAATATTTCTTGCCCCATGTACCAACGAACGACATGCGTCTAAACCGATATGACGTAGAGGACCACGTGGATCAGCTAACCAACGTTGAGCTTGTACTAGTTTACCTTCTAGTGTTCTAGCCAAACGGAATAATGGATTATATGAAGGTTGTTGATGCGCTTGTTGGTGTGATGATGAGGATGAATACTGTTGGCATCACGTAGCGATATTTCTTTGCATAGTCTAGATAATTGGCTTAATTTTGTGCTAAGCGCATTAGCTATACGATTCGCCTCTGTACTATTACCCTGATATATACACATACGGATGAAAAAAAAAGATGTTAAGAGAAAAATTATTATTGATTTTTTCACAAAAAAAAACAAATATATTTCACGGAAACGAATATTAGTCATATGACTGACGACAATGACATATTTCTAGTTACATAACATTTTTAAAGTCAGTTTGTTACCAAAGTTCCCTATGATCAAAAGGGAGGAGCAACAATTGCCCAATAAATGCACCGAATAAAATGAAGAAGAGACCGTCGAGTGATAATACACGCCAGGCCGTGGAGTAGGATTTCAATGGAAAGCGAAGAGTTGTACGTGCGTCCGAGGATGACATAGAAGAGATTGTGAGAGGAGGAGATAAAAGCCTTATTGGAGATAGTGGGACCAGCTAAAAGTGACTGGAGATGTGCCAGTGAAGCCCTGTGTTGCATTTAGAACTCAAGGGAATACTGATGGTAAACATTTAAAAGTGTGTTACACAACTACTGACTTGGAATAATCTCCGAACCCAACCCTCACCCACCCCCCCAAACTCAATCCCATCAGCTAGATAGTAATATACGAAGAAATAGATCGAATTTGAGTGACCTATATTATTTCTTAACGTTACTGACCCTTTGTTGAATATCATCGTGATGGATTAGCATTTGTTCTGCGATATGTGGTTTATCGGCGTAATAAATCAACTTTCAGCCCATGGGTTCGAGCTCCGCTCCACTTACTTCTACGAGGCCGACTAGATAGTACCACCAACTTTACCACGAAATGCCTGGTTCTAAGTTTAAAATTTAAGAAATCCGTTACAGGTAACCGAGTCCTAATACAGCATCTGAGTATGCATTACGACTTCCTTCCTCAGTAGGATCGGAGACATTATGAGATGTTATTAGGTTACACACATGGCTCGAGAGACAATAACTCATTGGTCTAGAGATTTAAATTCCAACTAGCACGTGAGTAGGTTCGAACCTTGCACTACCTACCGAGATTCGATCAGTCGAATAGCATCACTAGCCTTCACACACGATAGATGTGACTCATTGGCAATTGCATGAAATTACAAGTGCTTGTTGACTGGCACTTTTTTCAACATATATAACTCAGAATCTAAATCCATGACCAATAAGCTGAAGTCTCTTTCTTTGTATTATTAATAGGATAAACATGAAATAACAAGAGCTCATCTGGAATGTTTTTGACAAGTAGACTTACCTAGTTTTCATTGTTGTGCTTCAACTAATTTATTTCTATGCACCCTATATTGCTATTCGATGGCTTAGTGTGGTGTATTATATGGTATCCATAGTACATTAAGTTCGTGTTTAAAATAGACAGATGCAGACTGGTCAGCACTAGTAAGGACTAGGCACTCAATAGTGAACAATCAGTATAGCCACTATAGTCTAAATGTAGGCTAATTCGAGTGGTAATCTCTCAGACTACTGCAGTATTGTGCGATGTAGGTCCGAATCTCTGAGGTGACATTGTAACAGAAGAAGACAACGGCCAGGAAACAGATCGTTTATTAAAGAAATCAACACGTATTTATATATTTTCATGTACATTATCATAGCTTATTCAAGCAAACAAACACAGTCTTCTTATTGGTTGTTTCTCACAGAGAGTTGACCTTGCATCTCTTTGTGACTGTTTCTTGAATGTCAGGTCATCTATATGTTAACTGTATCAGCCTACGCAAAGTCTCCTGTGATTGGTTTTGAACCAGTCTTGTTCATATTTTCTCACGACCAATATTTGCGACATAAACATTGACGTAAATCAATGTCTATCAATTGGCTAGCAGCCTGCTCTCACCACAACATGAGTGTCAAATGTCCAGTTCTAACTACACTGGACTTCACGTTGTCCTTAAAAGGCTTTCAGGAACCATGTCCAATAACCAACGCGAAAAACCAGAACACAGATTGGTGACTCAAGAAGCCTTGATTCTCGCACCAATAAAGAACCAACCATAAGGTTATTGTACGCAAAGTCTTAGAATAAATGTCATAACAATTAATCCCAATAATACTTCTGATAGTATTTCTTCGTCTTCTAACGAACAGCGAACGATGGAGCAATGACTGCAGTACTGGTTACTCCCACCAAAATAAAGAGTTGGGTATGAGCAAACAACCATGAATTGATCGTTCAATCTTAAACAACATTGACACATGAGTTTGCCAAAGTCTCATACGTACACTCACACACACAACTTACTGATAAGTGCCAGTAAGCACACATAGTCTAGATAGATTCATTACTCCTTGCTGATCGCCTTCGACTATCTGATACAGACAGAAAATATTCAGTACCACTAGGGATAATATTCACTTGATGTTCACTGTGTTCTACTGATTTCTGTAAGGAAACAAGATTACTGAATTATAACCATTTGACAAGAGACAGGTTTCTTATTTCATTACTAGTCCACAATATTCGACAGAAATGTCCGGTGTCTGTTGAAATATTGGCTCTTAGTACAGGCGATCATAGAGGATTACTGGAATACGAGGAGATAAACATTTCGTGTGATTTAGGACTCATCATCAGGATTTAGCCGTGACGTTTCAACGTCTAAAACAGTCGGAACACCAGCACTCACTAGCGATATGGGGTACATTCAGCCAACGAGTTTCAAACAGAACGAAATAAGCCGGTTTCATCCTATTACTAGTTGCCATGATCCAAATAACAGTTGATAAAACTTTCATACTTTCTTATATCTAACTCATCAGTGCCACATAAAATAGAAACAGAATCTCGCATATTCTTTTTTTAGACACAAACTACCAAGTAATACTACGGTAAATACCAGATGATATGATACAAATAAGCGACCATCTGAATTGACTATTTAGTTATTCATGAACGAAAACACCAACTGCCTAAGTGATTAAATCTCAACACAGGACTTTGCACAGAAGCAGAGAAGAAGAAGAAGAAGAAGTTCAAGTTACCACACTCCATATAGCACAGAAAAGTTTGAGAAAAGAAAGAAAATCATGAATTCCAAAGATCTATGATTCACATAAATATACCGGAGAAAGAACATGTGGGTTTATTGAATATGGGGGATACCAAAAGTGAATGCACCTACGCCAGAGAGAACGATTTTAAGCCATATGACCAGTAGTCGATAGTCACTGGTTTTTAACATTATGTGAAGTCACCCCAACTAGGCTGCCTAAACACCTGTTTAAACGGCTCAAACCAACTGTCAAAGACGCAGAAAAAACTTGGTACAATATGTCACCAAGAAAGATGCGTCACACAATGTTGTGTGAGAGCTGAGATACTGCGATGCAACGTCTGCAGCTGCATTCCCATGGTTTCCGGTGACCCATATGGGTTCATACGCTATTTGATCCCATTGGATTCTGGAACCCATGTACCCCGCGTGATAACTGCTTTTAGTCTAACCCCTATCCAAACAACCTTCCTGACATGGTGGTAGGACCTGCAGGCACAGAGTTCCAGTCAGTTTAGCTTGCTGAGTCACACTGCGGTATTCACGCCCGACCACCACGGCAAGGTAGCAGTTGTCGGTGGGGATTGTCAAAGACACAATTGACTGGCTGATTCCATCTATAAGTCATTTCCAACCGAACTCAGCTAACACTGCTCATGAAAATCAACGCATCTATTCAAAGTGTCTATGAGTCTAGATAAACAGATCGATTTGGTAGAGAGAGAGAGAGAGAGCAACAGCTCTAGCAAAAACATACTACAATCACACACAAACACGAAGAACGTGATTGGATTATATTACTAAAAAGGAGAGCACTATTTACCAAACCATTTCATGTTTGTTTTTCCAACGTAAAAAGCCTCCTCCCCCCCCCCTAAAAAAAACAGGTGGAACAGAAATAAATTCATTCACAGATTAACAAACGTAGTAATGTGAAATACGTTCTGTCAGACGTGTAAGTAATACCACTTACTCCAACGTAAGAGTAAACAGTTATCTCTACCTAGTCTATATACACAACATACGCCAATACATAAACAAGAGAAACAATAAACAATCAGTGCTGCAAAGCAACATACAAAAGTACAAAACATAAGCCCAGAGTAAACACAGATCATTTCAACTTAAACAAATAGAAATATTAATTTTTAAAAATTAACTCTTATTTATTTTGAATAAATGAGAAACTAGACTTTCTACAAATATATTAATGAATTCAAGAAAAGTGTTCTAGCTCTGATGATATTGGATAGTTGGGAGGCAATCGACAACAGGAAGCCTCACCTAACCTAGGGGTTTCGTGCTAGTTGACACTCACTAGTAGTCAGAAAGGCGTATCTGAAACCTTGAAGGAACTCATGTATGTCCCTTCTGAGATTTGAAGCCGCGTCACCCAGTGAGTACTATACAGTCAGAGACGTTACTACACTGAGCTATTCGCACTCGCGATTGACCTCCTGAAGGACTGTAAAGAGCATTCTATTCTAGCTTGTTAAGAATCTCCGCAGTGAAGTCTACTACTCAAGTCGATGATCTGGTATCGAGTAAAAAGTGTAAACCAATAAACAACCTGTGTGGTTACTCACTATTTGTACTTAGTTTGTAAATTAAACTGATCGCGCAACTCCCCTTCCCTTACTATATAGGCAGCTTTTAAAATGCTCAGTTCACATGTTAACAACAGATTGACTTTATGAAATGACCTGCTGTGGGGATTAGACAGTCACTTCGGTAAGCAACAAGATATCAGTTTGTGTAAGTAATGCAATATTGAAGACAGTGAGTGGTGGTACAGGTGACCTTGCGTAGCAGCATTTGCCAATTTTACATCATCTCTGGCGTAGACATGATATCTGGCTATCGATCAATGGATGCATTTATTGAGCAGGAGTTTGCTTTATCCCTTTTTATGATTGTAAAACACTTCCATTGAGAAGGTTAGCTATCCATGAGTACACATGTTCGTGTTATAACTCCGGCGTTAAGTGGTATAATATGGTAAGTAATCTTCGAGGCAGGCGTAGAGTATCACGTAAGAAGA